GAGTTTGTTAATCAAAAAATTCTGTAAAGTTTTACAAAATATGAAATCAATAATAAAACAAATTCCAAATTTCCAATTTGGTCTTCCACATGCCCATATCCGTAGGAGGATTACGTCATTCAAAATTCGATGGTTCTATGTGCCGTTGTTATGTCACAATGCGAGAAATAGACATATATTTATTCAGATTTTTCCTTATTTAATTTCTTCAAATATAATGCAGGCTCTAACATTCGGTGGCAACAGTTTGAAAAGTGAAACGGATATTTATAGTGATTCAACGTAAAATCGCAAAACGAAAACAATAGTTCTTCAGGGACAAAGCCCCTTTTGGACTAAAAATTAACTCCTAATCGTCATTTTAATACTGTTTAGAATATTACATTTTGTAACGGCAATAAAGTACAAGTTAAAAAATCGCCCATTTTGAAATTAATGCGCTGTTTAAAAAATGAGTATTTGGCCTTCAAACCCCGTAACCAAAAATACTTGTTTACACGTGCTTAAATGTCGTCATTTTAACCAAAAGGAATAGCATATAAAAAATTATATGATATTAGCTCTTAAAAATTTAGGAAATGCACCTGAGTTATATATGAAGAAAGTACATTTTTTAAGGATTATGAGAGAATATCGAGTCTTAAGATTTATATACACTGCTGGCCATTAAAACTGTAACACCAGGCAGGAATGATCTTACGAACGTCAAAATCACATGAAGTAGGATATGAAAATGATTAGTATTTCAGCGCATTTAGACGAAGCAGGAGAGGGGAAACGACATCTAAAGCACTGCATAAAAGAAACATTGTGTAGTGGATTTCTCATGCGGAAAGTTTTTTGTAAGGACGGAGTTTGCTCCGAATATCGTGTTATGCCTCGAATAAGAAGAGAAATGCTTACCAGCAAGTTTCGAAATTTGATAAAGGTAGGATCGTTTCCCAACGAGAGCGTGGATTATCGTTTCGTGATATCGCCGGTCGCACTGGTCGACATCCAACCACTGCCATGTGAATCAGTGGATTTCTGTGGGTCATAGTGAACGGCAGACAAGATCTCAATGCCCTCCTATGACTGACACCAGAGAGGAAAGACATATTGTGATTTCAGCTCAGCAAAACCGAGCGACCACATCACCGACCATTAGTCAGGAAATGGGCATGTTTGTAGCACGCACAGTAGCAGCTCGTAAGGTACGTCGACGTTGGCAGCAACGCGGTCTATCAGCAGGGGTGACTATTACTTCGGCTTCCCTTAACGATGCAGCATAGAGAAAGACGGCGAATCTGGTGCGTCAAACGACAAAGCTGGATACAGGAGTGACACAAAGTCGTCTTTTCAGACGAGTCCCGGGTGTATGCGCAGTATTCTGATGGCTGTATACGTGCTTGGAGTGTCCCAGGACACCATATGTCGCCTGCTTGCATTCGACATCGGCATAGGGTCCCTGCATCTGGTGTGACGGTTTGGGCAGCCATTGGATACATGACACACGCATCTCTAGTTCGGATCGACGGTAATTTGAACGCAGATCGGTACGTCTAGTGATTCTTATCTATCTTCGAAGTTCCCAAACTCCATGTTCCAACAAGATAATGCAAGACCACATGTTGCACGTCGTGTTCTGACCATCTTCTATACACCGGGTATTCGGTTGCTGCCCTGGCGTGCACGGCGTCCAGATATGTCGCTCATTGAAACATCTGGTCATGGGCTGCTGAGAGAGTGGCTCACCACCCCTCTCCAGCTAATACAGTTGATGACAAGTGGCATAGATTTGAAGCAGCATGGAATAAGTTGCCCGTTTCTGTCATCCAAGCCCAGTTTGACTCCATGCCTAATGGGGTAAAGGCCGTTTTAGCTGCCAGATATGGCAGCTGTTTCTACTAATTTCGCACTCCTGTAAACTTCCAAAATGCATACAAATTTAACTATTTTGTCTTTCTACTGGTCATCTTATAAGATATAGCTCTTCTTTTCCACATAAACTAAACTAGATGCTACAAATGAACCTCGCGAATTCTCGCGCAGGCGTGAAGTAATACCATCACAGAAAAAGGGTGAAAAGGACCCTTTATTATAATAAAGGGTTCTTTTGGATATATCCAACTATGAACAGAAAGAGACGCTGTTCAAAAAAAAAAAGAAATGCGACAGTTCTATAGCTCCCGTTCTACTGGGCCGATTGACGAAATTCAACTTGCGTTTTTCATGGCTCGAAAGCACGACTTCGGATATGTATTAGATTTATATATAGCATTGTTCTAATATAGATATTTTGACACAAAAACCGGACTTTTTCTGAAATGATATGGCGATTTTTTTCCCATATTTCGATTATACGATTCAAATTAAGCCAAACTGCCAAATTTTGTAAAAACCGCACTTTTTTTTTTTTAATTGGTTCTCAAAATGTTAACTCCTCAAAGTTAATTGAATATGATCTAAATTTATTAATATCCCTTTTTTTTATTAAACTTAATTGATTGCTTCTTCCAGAATTCGAAATTTAGCTTCATTCCAAATAAAGTTCACCCCTCTTTATGATTTATTTTTTTAATTTGCATTTTTAAATAGTTTTTATAAATTTTTCGATAAAGGTTTTGAATTATAACCTATAACATTTTTACCATCATCTTAAAATAGATGTATTTCTAAGCATACCTGCAAAAAATTAAAGTTTTTTTTATTCAAAATTTCCTAGGATGTACGTGTATTTACATATTGTCACGTTTTGAAATCTGGCATATGCGTTATAAGCGATAATAATGCCAAATGTGGTTTACGCACTTTGTTAAAATCATTAGAAATAGCAAAGGATGATTTTTTCCGGTCGTTTACAATGAGAAAAAGGAAAGGAGAATAGGTTATTATAAATTTAGATATTCACTAAGTGAATTATTCTTCACGCAAACTGAAAAACATGCGCCAAGATAAATTGTTGAATTTTTCCATAAATTTCGCACCAGATTTTACAAAATTTAATATTTAGGCCTAATTTGATTCGTAGAATCGAAATGTGGAAAAAAAATCGTTACTGGTACATATAATAAATCGCGCTTTCGACATATGAAAAACTGAATTTGAATTTCGTCAGTCAGCCGAGTGGAACGGGAGTATAGAACTGTTCCCTCCGTGCTTACAGTAACACTGACGCCTTGCGGTGGACCTTAAAAATCGTTACATAATAAATTCAGTGATAAAGTAGTGCAAGACTAACCGTTTAAGGCAAACTAATCGGACTGAACAACTTACCCGGCGTTATACTTATTAAACCTACAAAAAGGCGTGACAGCAAGAACAGACTCGTAACATGCCCTGGCTAGCGAAAACATGCTCTGAATAAACTCCAAGAAACATCCGTTTAAACACTCGCTTCATGTAACTTCAAGTTTGTATCCTGGCGATGAAATGCGAGGAGAAAATGAGAGGTTCAAGAAAGATATCAAACTCAAAATAATTTTTTATGCAAACTAAGGGAAACTCTGCAAGTTGAGCAATAGAAAATTCATCTTTTTTATGACAGTCACTTAAATATACCCATATCTCATCGGGTGTTACCAAAAATTTCCCTTTATCAACAGCTAGGAGTCTTTCATGTAATTCTCTAAGATTTTGCTTTTGTTCGGCAGTATGCTTTTAAACATAAGGAGGTAAGGTTTAAGTATCTTTTTTTATCGTTATGAATAATTTAATTACAGTACCAGAAAACATTCCTAGTTTCGATGCAACAGATCTTTAGTCTGTGGATTTTCTTTCAGGTTCACAGACTTCACTTTTTTTATATTTACCCGCGTTCGGACAGTTTTAGGAGGGGCTTTTGTTTATTTTTTTCCAGTAAGACGTGTTTCCTTTTCAAGTTTAATATATTAAAAATGCCTTTTTTTAAATGCAGTTGCTTCTATTTTTACAACACTACAATTTGCTGATAAAAATATTTTTGTCAGAATGTGCACTTACGTAACCTTGGAGCCATGTAATAATTTTAGGAGACATTTCCAAAATAAGTTTCTTATACCACATCTCCAATCAAAACAAAAACAAGAGCAGACGATTTCACTCAAACCTGTTTTTGCTCGGTGTTTTTTTATGCGATTCTTTTTATTTGTGCGGTATGTGAAAATTTGAATTAAATTGGAACATAACTGAGGGAGCTATCAATAAAAATAAATAATCAATAAAAAAGAAACTTCAATCTTGTATATCTGGCTACTGAGATCTGTCTACAAGCGTCTAGTGAAACAACCGTCGTCGGAAAAACTGATCACGACTACATGGTAACTGAAAAAAAGTCAACTCTAAACGAGTGCAAGGTTCACCTTCAAGCGACGAAAGAGATTTTGAAGCAGTTTACCAAAATTAATTTCACCTGATATGAATTTTGTGCATTCTGATTTATAAAAGGAACGAAATGTAGCGCTGTTATGTGAACTTAGTGCCAGAGTGTCGCTATGGTAAACAAATATAGTGAACTTTAAAGAGTGGATTTATTGTAATGGGATTTATGCGCTATCGACGAAGTAGATTTAATTCAATGAGTTTAAATGAAATGTAAGAAAAAATACGTATAATTTAAAATTCCATACAAGGAAGTCATGTGGTGTACACATCAGATTTTTTTTTTTAATGCGGCTCCTATCCACCGCACAAAAACAGGTTTGAGTGTACACTGAAAATGCCAAAGCTTTATTTCAAATGCTAACAGGAAATCGTTTCCATAAATTGCAAACGTTTAAAGAGAAAATCGTTTCCATAAAGTTTGAATGGCCTTCGATAAATTTGCATAATTTCTACTTTAATTTAATTACTCCAATTTATTTTTAAACCTTTTTAATTTTTCTTTTCCTCCAATTTCCGTTTCATTTCACTGAATTAGACAAATTTTAATCTAGCAAGCCCTTAATTAATTCTGTAAGATTTTAAGTTGGCATAATATAGAATATCTAGGAATAAGAGCGATGTTCGATTCTGCGTTACCATTAAATTGTTCTCTTAATTAGCTGGCCTGGATACACAAGGATCGTCACATTCTGTTGACACTCCACGACAAAGTAATCTCCCGAAATCCACGAATTTCAATTCACCATAATAACTTCAGGTCCTGGTGGCTAAAGATAAGTGATGTCAAACAGGAAGACAGTGGACAATACATGTGTCAGCTAAATACGGCTCCTATGATAAGTCAAACAAGACATTTGGAAGTTGTTGGTAAGTACCTGACATTTTCTCTTTCTCTGCTGCTTCTGCTACTAATTTATCCGCAAGCATGAAGCACTTTGTTAGCTTTTTCTCAAAGGTTTAGTAGTGATCGTCATCATCGTTACTAAACCTTATTTCAGACAAACAACAAAGTTTAGCTTTAGCTCAAATATGATTTTTATACTAAAACTAAACGTAATTTAAATTAATTTTATATTCTTTATTTTATAAAAACTACCTCAAGAAACTCTTCCTTATTTTGTGTGACAAGGTATACGGGTTCGTAATAGATTCAATACACAAAGTTCGATAATATGTTAATTTTTTTTTTTTTTTTTTTTTTTTTTTTTTTTATTATTATTATTATTATCAAAAGAAACATAGCGGAACGCTGGCATTTTCCTTAGAGATGTACACTGCGAAAAAAAGGGAGTGTTTTATATGTATGTCCCACTTTACTGGGCCAATTGACATTTTCATGTCTCGAAAGCGCGACTTAGTATATGTATTACATTTATATATAGCATTGTTCTAACATAGGTATTTTGACACAAAATCGGACTTCTTCTGAAATAGCATACCACTTTTTTCCCATATTTCGATTCTACGAGTCAAATTATACCTGAATATTAAATTTTGTAAAATTAGATGCGAAATTTACGGAGAAATTCAAAAATTTATCTTGGCGCACTTTTTTCAGTTTAAACTAAACTCAGTGGTGTAACAGCCCTGACGGGCCAGTACCCGAAGCTTCGGGGCTTGCAGTACCCCGAAATCTGCTTTCTTGACCGTGGGCCCAATGGTGCGTAAAGCATATGCCCTGAACAAGTGGTGAGCTTGTCGCAGGACCCCCAGTTTTTAGTCTCCGAGCGAACTTGGTACTCATTTTATCGACCCAAAGGATGGAAATCAAAGGATGAAAGGCTGAGTCAACCTTACTTAGTCCGGGGATCGAACACCGGACCTATAGTGCTGCTGCGCGATGCGCTAGTCACTGCGCAGTTTGCGCCAAGAATAATTCACTTGGCGAACTTCTTAAAATATGGCAACCAATTTTCCTTTTCCTTCCATTATGTCGGAGCGGGGAAAATAGGCGCCTCGTTCCTACCTTTTTACACTGTGCTTAAGCGGAAAAAGTCACATCGTTCCTATTTTCAAAGAATTTTAGCAAAGTGGCTAAACCATATTTGATGTTTTATCGTTTTCAACAAATGTTGCAAATTTCAAAGAGCTCCAATGTATAAATTCTCGTATACCTTCGTAAATTTCGAAAAAAAAAAAAAAAAAAAAACGGTAATTTTTTGCAGGTATGCTTAGAAATACGTCTACTTTAAGATGATGGTAAAACTTTAGCTTATCATTCAAAATTTTTTTTTGAAAAAATTTATTAAAAATCATTTAAAAATACAAATTTTAAATATAAATCATAAAAAGTGGTTGAATTTTATTTGAAATGAACCTGAATTTCGAAATGTGAAAAGAAGAATCAAATAAGTTTAATAAAAAAAAGTCAGATTAATAAATATATACCAGACTCAATTAAGATTGAAGAGGTAAAATTTTAAGAGCTAAGTTTTTAAAAAAGACTCGTGCGATTTTTACAGAACTTAGTAGTTTGGCGTAATTAGAGTCGTAGAATTTGAGTCATAGTAACTTGAGTCGTAGTCGTTTCATCCCCGCCGAAGAGTGTTGCCATTGCCCGCTTTTAAATCGTTGAGTTTATTACTCAAAAATTCGTTAACGTTTTGCAAAGCAAGAAATCGATAATAAAACGAATTCCAAGTTTCCAATTTGGTCTTCCACATGCCCATATTCGTAGAAGAATTACGTCAATCAATATTCGATTGCTCTATGTACCGTTGTTTTATCACAAGGCGAGATATAGACATACATTTTTGCAGATTTTTGATTATTTAATTTCTTCAAATATAGTGCAAGACTCTAACATTGGGTGGCAACAGTTTGAAAAGTGAAACGGACATTTATAATGATTCAACGCAAAATCGCAAAACGAAAACAATAGTCCTTCATAGACAAAGCCCCTTTGGACTAAAAAAAATGGGACAGTTCTATATATCTCTCATTCTACTCGGCCGAGTGACTAAATTCAAAATGCGTTGTGCATGTCTCGAAAGCTCGACGTAAGATGCATATTAGATTCATACAGCATTGTTCTAACATAAGTATTTTGACATAAAATCAAACTTTTACTAAAATAACACACCAATGTTTTTTCATATTTCGATTCTACAACTCAAGCTATGCCTAAATATTAAATTTTGTAATTTTTTGGTGAGAAATTTAGAGAAATTAAAAAATTTATCTTGGCGCATTTTTTTTCAGTTTGCGCCAGGAATGATTCGCTCGGTTAACTTCTTAGTTTATATAAACCTATTTTCCTTTTCCTTTTTTCAATGTACAGGAGCGGGAAAGAAGTCATCGTTCATACTTTCAAATAATTTTAAAACTGCGTAAACCACATTTGGCATTATCGTCGCTTATAACGAACATGCCAAATTTCAAAATGTGCCAATATAAAAATTCATGTACATCTAAGGAAATTTTGAATAAAAAAAATCTAATTATTTGCAGGTGTACCTAAAAAAGCATCTACTTTAAGACGATAGTAAAAATTTTATAGGTAAAAATAAAAAAATTATATATATTGACACAAACAATTTTTCGTAAAATTCATAAAACATATTTAAAAATACAATTTATAAATTAAATCATAAAAAAATGTGCGAATTATATTTGGTTTAAGCCTAAATTTCGAATTCTGGAAGAAGGAATCAAGTAAGTTTAATAAAAAAAATCTCATGTGTACACCACATGACTTCTTTGTACGGAATATTAAATTATACGCATTTTTTCTTGCATTTCATTTAAACTTATTAGATTGAATTAAACCTACTTCGCCGACACCGCATAAACCATAATAGAATAAATGCATTCTTTAAAATTCACTTAGTTTACCATAGCGACACTCTGGCGCCAGGTTTACTTAACAGTATTATATTTCGTTCATATTATAACTCAGAATGCACAAAATGTATATCATTTAAAGACTTATCTAATCGTTGCCACATGTTCTATTCAAATACTATAATAAAGCTAGAATGATGTATAAAAGAAATTAAGCAAACCAAACAAAAAAACAGTTTTTCACAGACGATTGAGTATTTCTCATTTAATTAATTCAGTTCCCACTTCGCGACAAGGCAAAAATACATAAAAACTCAAAATATGTATATTAAAAATTACGAAGTAAATCTCAAACGCTTATTTCCTCGGAAAAATTCCAGAAAGAATTAAGCATGATTTAATTGGCAATAATAAATGAATGCGTTATCTTTCTTGTCGCGAAGCTAAGTTTCTCTACATTGGCAACGAATCCACTAGTCTCCTGTTTCAAATGTAAACATCAATGGCCGCCATTAAAAACAGGCTTAGCGGCAATTAAACAACTTTAAAAAATTGCTGATAATTCTAAAAATATTGCACACAGATTTAGTAAAGGCATAAAATCCTTAACCGGAAGATAAAAACAACATAATTCGATCATTTTTAAAGCAAAAAATGTACAATTTACAAACATATAAGAGTAAAGAAACTGAGATTACTGAGCCGGGTAATAGAGTGGATATATATATATATTTATATACGTTTGGTGCGACCGATTGCAACCAAAATACCAGGTGCACATCTGCATGTTATAGCAGTCCTATATACAAAATTTCAACGTTCTGAGGCTACTCGTTTGTGAGTTATGCCAGATACGTACGTACGCACGCACTTACGTACATACGTTCGTACAGATGCCACGAAAAACTCTCTTCAGAATTAATTTTAAAGGAGTTTTATAATTTTTTGAAGGAAAAGAGTATTTTATTCTGTCCTTACGTACAGATATCGCGCAAGAGGATCGTTAAATTGCATTGGATAGTGGTCAAAATGGATATTTTCGTTGAAATATGCTGCCTGAAACTTTTCGCGATTACAATACTTTCTTTCTACTTCGTACAAGGAATTAAAATCGATATTAATAAATACATATCAAATTCAACTAACATGGAGGAGGTAAAATTTTGAGAGCTAATTTTTTTAAAACCTACTCATGCGATTTTTACAAAACTTGGCAGTTTGGCATAATTTGAGTCTTAAGAATCTAAATATATAAAAACATTGGCATGTTATTTCAGAAAAAGTCGGATTTTGTGTCAAAATACCTATATTAGAACAATGCTATATATAAATCTAATATATATCCTAAGTCAAGCTTTCGAGACATGAAAAACGCAAGATGAATTTCGTCAATTGGCCGAGTAGAACGGGAGATATAAGAACTGTCTCATTTTTTCCCGCGCTGTACCTACTAATTAATGCAATTTATGTTCAAGTGAAATTTTCATGGAATACCATAGAGAATTAATTTCTGTTTCCAAAATATTTATTTTATAGACATATTGCAATCATTGCTCTTTTCTTTCAAACGTGTTTATTACAGATACTGTGATTGCCCCTAATGATAATGCATTTATGCTTTTGTTCATGTGACTTGTATGCGCAGATGTTTGGCTTTTATGAGACACTTTCTTTGCTTTCAGTGCCTCCGTCCATAAACGAGGACCAGACAAGTTCCGATCAAAATGTTCGAGAGGGCGCAGATGTGAATCTCCGGTGTAACGCATCTGGTTCTCCTAAGCCAACGATTAAATGGAGAAGGGAAGACGACAAGGACATTATTTTAGGATCGAAAAGAGGTAAAACTAAAAAAATTTACTTTCGAACTTAAATAAAATGCTCAAGTTCTCATGTAATAGTACAAGCTGTCAATATATTCTGCTCAAAATCCGACACACTATTTGTTATACTTTTAATAATGCGTAAATATTATTTTATCTCTATATCTTCTTAATTATTACATATCGATAGCAAAGCAGCAATATATTGAAATTAGTCTTATTTTGATGTTGATCAACAATAAACCTCAAACTTCTTTCCGTTTAAATTTCGGCGAAACGTTGGTCTAAACGCATTTCCAAAGAAAACTTGTCTCCGTTCATCTATATATATATATAGTTACGAAATGTGCAGGTGCGGTGAGATAGTTTCCCCGCAAAGCAGTTTTAGGGTTGCCATAAAATGGCAACGGAAGGCAGGGTTGCAACATTTGGCGAGAAATCACCCATTTGATGACAAAATTGGCGATATACCATGGACGCATGGAGAACCTTCTGGAACAAATTCTTACCGGTTTAGTCCAGAATGTTCTCGAACACAAGCCGAAAGCTATATAAACGCTGCTGGTCTGCAGTCAGTACTAGTATTTATTTATTTACCATCAGATGAGCAACTGCACCGCCTTTAAGACATTCAGCTTTTACGCTCAACTGATCTACCAACTGTGTTGTTATGTAAAATACAATAAAATTTTAGAATTTTGATAATTACATAATAAAAATTAAATATCAAGAAAAATATATAAATAATACAATAAATAATAAACATAAATAGATACAATAATAAAGTTAAAAATTTAGAACAAGATAAATACAATGTAGTTTATATGAAGTCAATAAGCATCAGAATTTTGAGAAATATATAATAAAAATTGAAGAAATTAAATATATAAAAACTAATACCCTAAAACATAATACGTAAATGAACGTAAATAGATAAGTAAATACTTAAGAAGATCATTACAATTTTGAAAATGAACAACATAATGTATGAGAATAGTAGAGGCGCGAAATGTAAGTTTTGTAAAGAGTTTAGAATAAGAGTATAGTTTTTTTTTATTATGGAGAGTGAAGAGCAGTAATTGAATAAAAGTTGATGAGAAATAGAATTTGAATGAATTAGTATAACTTGAATAAAAAGTTATTGAAAATTCTTGATAGAAAGTAATTCTTGAGTAAAAGTCTTGACTAAAAAATCTTGAGTTGAGACTTTATTAACACATTTAAGATTAATATATTAAGGAGATGGAGTTAGAAAATATTCCTTAAATTCATGATTGAGCATAGGAGATCTTGAAGATGTACTTACATAAAGATGGTCTTGAATGAAAGCGCGGAAATGTATTTTTAAAATGAGTAAAATGAGGTAGTAGAAAGAATGGCTTATTAAGTAAGGTAAATGAACAAAGAATAAGGATTTCAAGTTCCTTTAAGATTATCGATGTTTGACAGCCGGCCAGTGTATCGTCAAGAGTGCGAGTGTGTCTCATCTAGTTAGTCCGTGCGGAGACCATCGAGTTGACAGCCGGCCAGCGAGTGCCGAGTGAGTCGTCGAGTGCACCGAAGGAGTCTCTTAGTGTATCGGTTAGATTAGTGCATCGTCGAGAGAGCATGTTGAGCTTCAGGAACGACTAAACCGAAGAGTCGGGAGCTGTGCTCATGTGTCGTCGAGTGCATCGCGAGTTGTGGCGTGGAGAGTCTCGAGAGTAGGTGGAGTTCCGAGAACGACCAAGAAGAGTCGGGAGCTGTACTCCGGAAAGCAGAGTCGGGTGCTTTGTAAGAAGCCTGATAAACTGAAGGCTGTGTCTCTGATCGTGTCAGCGTGTTTATAGTAGTTCACCGACGGTAAAACGTGTTTTGGAGCTGTCCTGACAATACTGGCAAATAAAGTGTGTTTCGATACTTCATCAAGTGTCGTCGTTATTCACTCCAAATCCACACAAACCCCGTACGAACGTGAAGGAAGAAAATAACGTAACAATTGGTGTCAGAAGAAAAGAAAAACGCATCATAATATATATATATATATATATATATATATATTAATAATTCTAATTTTCCATACTTTAGCCAGTATTTAGTTAAGTTTTGATATACTAATTGAAATCAAGTTCATTAAACTTTTAATATTTTCTTTCATCAAATTTAGTTTTTATTTAACTTCCTAAAGGAATTTTTTTGAGAAATTTCGCGAATTTTTAGAGGTTTTTTAAGGATTTCATTTCAAAAAAAATTTGGGAAATTTACTTTAAAACTTTAATATTAAAACATTTCAGTATTTCTTAATTACTTAAATTTTTTGCAATTTTCACACAAATATCTTTCACTTATTTTTTTTAACAATTTTCACAATTTTCAACAGAACACACATTTCAAATTACAAAAGTTTACATTTTTTTCACATACCCTTCACTTTAATTTCCTTCAAGCAAACTTACATCTCTTGATTGGCTCAGTTACTTAACTCCCTAAATAATTGATTATTACTACCTTTAGGATTTTAAATTAATTTAATTTTTAATATTAATGTTTACAAAAAAATTTTTACTATAACAAGATAGCAGCATGACACTCACTTTACCTACATAAGCGCCATCTATATAATTGAAGAACACTTACTTCTCTTTCACAACACTTTTGCAGACCCCAACACTCCTATAGTAGGTAAATTAGAATTAAAAAACTATATTTACTTGCTTTAGTATTCTTTAAAAAAAAATTTTATGTAGTATCTAAGCATTTTTAAATATGAATTATATTTTTAAATATATTGTTTTTTTTAAAAAATTGTGAATTAGTTTCTTTTTGTTTCTTATTGGTTTTTTTATGGATTATGTATAGTTCTTTTATAGTTTCTTTTTATTGATATGCATATTCGTGTAGGGGAAGTTTCTTTAGACAAGGATTTCTAAAAATATCTTGATTTTTTTATTATTTTTATTAGTTTTTATTAAAATTATTTAAAATTTTTAAAATTTATTTTTTTAAGAAAAAGTTTAATTCTTTACTTTACTTGCTTGTTACTCAAAAGACTTCATTAGTATTTTCCTTTTTTGAACTTTCATTCTTAAATGTTTAATACTTAAATGTTAATTTCTAAGGGTACCACTTTATTGGAATTATTTTGGGTTTGACTTTTACCCTTGCCTGCATGAATGACGAAACACGAATTGAATAATTGGAGAGTTAGGTTTGGAGGCAACTTCCCTTGATAAGTCTGTCTCCTGCCTACTCTACGGTCTTCACATATGCATTTTTTTAATTGTTTTTAATTACTTTAATTTATTAAATTAGTAGATTATTTTCATGGATAGATTTTGCACTTGATTTACTTAGGCTTCTGAATTTAAATGATATTTGTAGATTAGTTCGAGTATTAAATCTTTTACATGTTTTGCACTTTTTTAAATTATTTTAAATTATTCGGCTTTTTCCTTTTTTTAGAATTTAAATTTGCTTTTTACTTTTATATGTATTTCTTAAGAAATTTAAATTTGTTTAAATATATTATATATATATATATATATACTCTTCCTTTTATATATAGACAGGGTTATTCAAAAAGAAAGAGCAGATTGTAAACATGTATTTCTTCCAAACTACAAAAGATAGAAACATGATTTTAACGTTAATGGATAGCAAAAAGTGTACAATTTAGTACAGGTAAAAGTTCCAATCATGGCCGCATTGGCGCTGTTGTTTGTTCTGAAATTATTTGTCGGTTGGCAGTCGGTTGGCAGAAATGGCGGCAACACCACAGCAGAAGTCTTTTGTGTTCTACAACTGGCAAACTACAATGTTCTTAGCGACGCTCCAATAATCGAGGCCTTAGCAATCTAACTGCACTCTTCTGCACACATGAGTATTCATGAACTCATCATTCAGCCTTCAAGATGTACCTGTATTTATATACAACAGAACTGTCCTACACTAACCTTGTGCTCCAGCTTTCATGTGACTTCATGTACTCCATTTGTCTTTTTGTCCCTTAAGTGACTATGTGTATGTACCTGTTTTATGTGCTCTCTGTTTATGCATTTTACGCATTGTGTCTTGTGTATTGTTTGCCTATGTGTTTTTATGTCTTTTAATGTGTACGTCTTATTGTACAAGTATTTTTAGTTTAACTACCTACTATCTGTAACACCACAGCTTGCCTCTTCAATCTGTAATACAATCCTACTAATGCCCTTGTAAGGCCATGTACTTCCCTTTGACAACCTCAATAATCTCCTGGTGCAGCCTCGTGTGGCTCCAGGGAGCTTCTGCTGTAGTTAGAGGAGGGCGTGGAACACATGCCTGTTTACCTCTGTTAGACACCAGGCGTTCCAGTCCTCCGTAACCTACCTACCTACAGTTTCAAAACTAGAGTCCATTGTTGCAGTTCAGCGAGCATTTCGCCGTCAATTTAATAAAGAACCGCCGCGACATAAGCAAATTTACGAGTGGCATCGAAAATTCATAGAATATAGTTGCATCTGCAAAGAGAAAAGCACAGGACGTCCACGCACATCGAACGAGAATGTCGAGCGTATTCGTACACTTTACGAAAGGAGCTCAAAGAACTCCACATCGCGAGCTAGCAAAGAACTTAAAATTCCTCAACCATCGGTATGGCGAGTTCTAAAACACCGTCTGCACATGAAGTCATACAAACTGCAGTTGTTGAATGCATACATTGAATGCATACCATAATTGTGAACTTTTCTCTATCCATTAACGTTAAAATCATGTTTCTATCTTTTGTAGTTTTGAAGAAATAAATGTTTGAAATCTGCTCTTTCTTTTTGAATAATGCTGTATATATAAAAGGAAGAGTCTGTCCGTCTATGCGTGTGTGTCTTTCGTTCGTGCTGCGAGTAAGCTAACAGACCCAAGGCTACGAAATTTGGTGCATAGGTGCATATAGACAAGAGCCAGGACACCTCGAAGCGATTTTTTCAAAATTTGAATAAGTTTTTTTTATGTTATGTTTTTTGATGAAATCGCTTCAAATAGATGATTCTTTCTCGTTATATCAG